AGAAAAAGTTTTTTTTTTTTTTTCAGAAATACTGCACATTTACATTTTCTCCTAAATAAATTCTGGTAAATAATATTTCTGGAAAATGCTCCTTTAAAAAGTGTTTTTTGATTATAATTTTATTATTAGTAGACTAGAACACGTGGATATGTTGTCATTCTTACACTATAATACTGAACTTTGATTTCAGTGATTTGGACTATGAGATGGACACTTGCTTCTTGCACTCTATGTTGCACTTTACTTTTTTACTTTTGGATTTCATTTGGTTTAATGAAATATAGTTTAATAAAATATTCTTAAGTAAAATTGTAAAAAACTGATATATTTTTGTCAGGATTCTTTGATGAATAGAAAGTATTTGGATGTATATGGATGTATGTGTGTGTGTATGTGCTCTTTATTAATTCCCCAGAGTAGAACATTCATTGGACCTTTTTAAATTCTTGTTTATGGTCCTTTGAGATTTTTTTGGGATGTGTTTGTTATCAAGCAGTAATGTAAATATATGGGTATCTCTGACAACTTCCTTCAAAACGTGGACATTCACCGTGTAAAATCTTTCTTGTTGTTTGTCGTGAATGAGCAATAAGACAATTGAGTTCTTTTTAGGTCTTATTTTAAATAATATATTTGTATTTTGTTTCTGAAAAGCTGAGAGTGAAATGTTATCTTCATACTGCAACTCAAATCCAGAAGTCCCGTATTACAGTGCTTTGAAAAAGAAAAATTCATTGTTGGATATGCTATCCCAAACTTAAGTGGAACGTCCTCAGCACAGCATGAGAACAGGACATCTGGGGACAAGAAGTTAGACATTTTCTGGAACACTAGGACGCTGCAGACGAGTGACTTGAGACTCAAGAGTTTTCTCTGTTTTGCTTCTATGTTGAGGTCTTCTATTTTTAATATTGAGTTCACAGCGTCTAAAATTTGAATACTTAGATTAAAAATTGATATTAATGTCTCTTCTAATCCGGAGGCTGAAATTAATCTAGTTGGGATAACCACATCTCTCTCTCATTCAAAGCGTGTGACAAGTTATTGGAGAATGCAGTGGAAGGCAGCTACAGCGTACCAAACAATCAATCTTCACGTTCCTAAGAGTTTAGTCCCATCTGAAAGATTCATTTGTTCCGAGAAATTCCCTCTTGGGCTTGAGTGTGCGTATATGTTTGAGACTACTTCATCCGAAACACTGTATTCCTCCCAAGTGTCAGTTTATGCAAAGTTTAAAGCCTCCTTTTCAGTTTACTGTAGGTATGATAAGAGCTAGAGCTTTTGATGTCTTCCTTAACCAGCTCTAATGCACAGGGGACATGATGGCAGCCCTTCATATTGCTCTTAGGAACCCTCCAATCAACAGCAAGAACCCAGCAATAAAGGTACAGGCTGTTTTAACGAGAACTTTTCAGAATGAAGCATATGGGGCGCCGACTGCTCAATTGCATCTTTCCTGTCTTTCATTCTCTCAGGAAAGAGCTCAGGCTGCGGTATTAAGGGTTCTGACATCATTTAAGAGCAGCGATATTGAACCTGCTGTTAAATCTCTCGACAAGAATGGAGTCGATCTCCTCATGAAGTACATCTACAAAGGCTTTGAGAGGCCCACAGAAAATAGCAGTGCCATATTGCTGCAGTGGCATGAAAAGGTAAACCCAGGCTATGAAGAGTGAGGTGTAAAGGGGCATTATTTTGTTTTACAAAATCCATTGGAAGTCCTTTTTGGAGGGCTTCAAATAACATAAAATGGTTTTAATGGCAAATGTGGAGCACGTTTTTCTTTCTGTCTTTTATAACAGGCATTTGCCGTTGGAGGACTAGGCTCTATTGTTCGAGTTATGACAGCCAGGAAGACTATGACTACCTGACCAGACCTGAAACAGTGCCGCTAAGAGACGCCGAGGACACAAGGCAGGTTTGCCTGTTACTTAAAGGAAAGAAGAAAAGACCTTCGTTTTGAATGGTACCGTCTTGATGAAGAAAAAAACCTATGAACTGTAAACGGTAGAGAAACACCGAAGCACTCGTTTCAAACTGAAAAAAATTTGCTTGTGTAGAAGTGAAGTAACGTTCTTATGTCAGTATATCATAAATTATTCTATGATATACTGGCATCAAAAAGATTTCAATCCGACATGGTTTTGAGTGGGAAAAATTGTACTGTGGAAGACAAAACTATTCAGCTGTGTGTGACATGGTGAATACAGCATACTGCATATTTAAGATCGAGTGAGTGCGAGCAGCAAAAGTGAGCTAGTACATATGAGGTTGTTATTGGATATGAGGTGTTTTCTGTGCTAAAAAAAAATAGATTTAATCAATGTTTTATTTTCTTATTTTATTTCACATCTTTGGTCCCATACTCTTTTGTTATGTTTTTGTGCAGAGATTTAATAATGGAACCAGTGATGTACACCAAAGTGGTAGAGTGGGGATCATCGTAAAGTGCCTGCTACAATAAAGTAAATGGATCTCCTTTATGTCGTCATCTGTGTTCGATTCCTTTTTAATGCAGTATTTATGTAGAGTATAAACCTGTTATTATTTGCCTCACCGGCGCTATAATAAAATGGTAATACTGTACCACAGACATGTCTACCCTGTTTGACAGCTCTATCAGGACGGCGACCTACAGAAGCAGGAAGGGCAGGGTAATTAAGATAATACATATATCAGGAAATGAAGATAAAGGGGTCTATATAGTATTCTGAAGGATGTGCTACTGATAACTTCTATCATGCCAAGACCAGTTCCTGTGGGATATCATTGAAGGAACAGGGCGCTGTAATCTCACTGCTGTGCAGCACAAGAACCAGGAGCCGGATTCATCTATAAATACAAAAAAAAAAATCACAGTGTATAATATGGATTGAATCTACTTTTTGTTTTTACTCCTGGGAATTTGAGTATACGAGGAGTTTTACAATGCAGTCTTAATTAGGGATGCACTGATACCCTGTTTGACAGCTCTATCAGGACGGCGACCTACAGAAGCAGGAAGGGCAGGGTAATTAAGATAATACATATCAGGAAATGAAGATAAAGGGGTCTATATAGTATTCTGAAGGATGTGCTACTGATAACTTCTATCATGCCAAGACCAGTTCCTGTGGGATATCATTGAAGGAACAGGGCGCTGTAATCTCACTGCTGTGCAGCACAAGAACCAGGAGCCGGATTCATCTATAAATACAAAAAAAAAAATCACAGTGTATAATATGGATTGAATCTACTTTTTGTTTTTACTCCTGGGAATTTGAGTATACGAGGAGTTTTACAATGCAGTCTTAATTAGGGATGCACTGATATTTAAAAAAATCTGGCTGATAATTATTTTTATGTTATGGCTGATACTAAAAACTAAAATCAATCATTTAAAATATTGCAACACTATAATGGATACTGGATTTAAAAAGTAATATTTCAGAAATTTTATAAAGACTGCATTTAACAGCGTTTTTACGTTACAGTAAGTAAGTGTAATAAGATAGTATAAGATATCTTATGTAAGATAAGATAATTTAATATAAAAAGACAAAATGAACAGAACAAACGTCCAATATTAAACACGAATCAATGGAAATATATTTTAAATATCTAAAATATCATGCACCCCCAATCTTAATCACTTCTGTATCGGTTATAGTGCTATTAGTAAATAAAACGGATGAAGGAACACCACAAATTAAGCAAAACAGTCATAAACTTTTTTATGTTCTTAAATAGCATTCTTAAAAACAAAAAGCTTGCATGTTTTGGTATCATCACATTTTTTCTGTATTCTTTTTTTTTTCCTGCATTTAACAACAAACATCAAATATAATTTGGCAACAGATAAGACAAAACAGTTTAGTGATTAAAAACACATGACAATTGGACAATGCAAGTATGTTCAACTAGCAACTCTAGAACCCCTTAACTTATAAAGAAAGAGTATTCTGACCATTACATCACATTTGAAAATGTTCCCTCCCACAACAGTAGGAACTGGTAGAAATCACCCGTACTACACCTTAGATCTGGCCCCATGTTTACAACAGAAAACAAATGCAGCCGATTTTCTTTGTGTTCCTTCCAATCATGGCCGCTAATGCATTTACAGGATGCATTAAAATGGAGCAGGGGGCATCAACATTTAACAGATAAACTAATTAACATGCATCTACCACTGAAGTTTGGGCAATTGGTAAGAAAACACTTTGTTAAAATTATTTTAAAAAGGGTATTGCATTTCCCCCTACATTTTAGGTTGGTAAGCTTCTGTTGTGGTACATTACATGTAGAAATGCTTAAAGTCTGTATTCACCCCTGTGCTCTCAGCTAAATAGTGTGGTGTGAATACAGGACAGTCTGAGCAAGAACTTATAGGTTCCTGAAAAGTTATACTTAAATACACATACTAACACAAAAGAAATAAGGCAAAAACATTTGACAGTCAGTCACCAGTCAAGGTCAGAGAGGAAACAGTGACATCCACCATCTGTTTCCCTCTTCATCTCCATCCAGCCCTTCTCCTTTTGGCAAACTAAAACGACACAATAAAAAAATCTAGGCCATGAAAAATTTGTGCCTGCGAGAGCACAGACAACTCGGTTGTCTGCTTAATTTGGGCAGTAAATATTCCAAGTGAAGGTTTGGCAGTGATTTGTTCGTTAGCAAACTTCTCTCTTTTTATACAAGAGGATTATTCAAAAAAAAAAAAAAAATTAGGGTCAAAACGTGCAAAACTATCAACTACAGACAGAGAGATGACAGTAAGAGTACGAGAATCGTTTGGGACATTGTGCTCTCCACATGCAAGAATCTTTTGGTCCCCATCGAATGGCCACGATCAAGCCTGCAGTTCGGGGGGAAAAGTCGGTAAACGTTGAAAAATCTGTCACCATGTATGGCATTTTCTAACACAGATCACAGATGGAGAAAATGATGAGCTATTTGCAAAGCGTGACATAACGGAATGATCAGACATGCCTCTTGCCAACAGCACAATAAATAACATCAGAATCAAACTTAAATAGTGCAAGTAAAGTGCAAGGCTATTATTGTAACTGTAATTAAAAACATCATGACGTAATGAAACGAACGAAACACTGATCACATCACTTCTTATTAGACCGACGCAGTGCACTTGTCCTTGAGACAGATGGGGTTGTGAAAGAGGGACGCTCTTATGCCATGATCCTTGGAATGTCAAGCTGACTGCACTGGTGTGAAGCAGCGGGAGGGTGCGCAGTTGAGACAGTGGCATGGTCCATTCACAGATTAGACAAAGAACACTGCCCCTGTCACATGCAGAGGGTCATCTTTTCACAGATCTGCCACGACGAACAACCCAGACAGACACACTTCTCTGCATCACATTGACTTCTTATAGAACTATACATATATTTATATATAGATATATACACAAATTTGTACTTATATACAGGAGTACGCCTGTACGCCTCTGTGACACTATAAAAGAGAACTCTGTTGGCTATTGGTGTCCACAGCACACATGGAATAAGACATTAGGTCATTACATCAGCTACGCAAGTATGGGCTTACCACACTACCGAGGCATGCTAAAAAGAATCTCTTTTGAAGAAACGCTCTATAAAAATGGAGATTCTGGTGTCAACGTAGCGTTAATGAATTAACGACCGGTTAGCTGATGACCAAAATAACCCGAAAGAGGCACAGTACGGTGGACCTCCTTCAAAAGACCAGGCTAAAGTCTGCGAAATTCGTGTCAAGACGGAAAAACAAACACATTTTAATGAACGAAAACAAACAAAAAAAAGCCAAGGCGGAGCAAATAAATGCAAACATGCAGCACGCTCCCTATGGAAAAAGTTGTGTAAACGTTGCAGAGGCAAAGTGTTGAGAAGGAAAACAAACGTCCTTCTCCAAAATGTTTTGCCAAAGCCGTAGGCTCATCTTTTTGGAAGAATCTCCCTGGAATTACACCAATTCACATAAAAAATTTTTTCTTTCTTCTCACTCGTCATCTTGTGCTCTCTTATCACCTTCAGAAACGGCGATAGCTGCCTTCAAAAGGTCTGAACGCCCGTGTGCCTGCACTCGTACACCCATACGATACATGCATGTAGTAAATTTTCCTGCATGTTGGCAGCAACGCTTTCGCATCTGCGTGTGTGTAGCTCCTTAAAATCGAAAAATACATGTGAACTTGACAAATTGTAAATATCTGCCCACAAAGATGAGATATTTTCTCTTGAATAGTTATTAAACTATCTAGATCTAATGAGATTAGGTTAAACAACTAGCTTGTTCAGAAGAAACTACCTACAACTTGTGTATGCGTGTGTATGGGCATGAGCGTGTGTGCGAGTGTCTGCAGGTTGGCATTGTGCCACCATGTGGTCAATAGTTATCCAACATGCCATCAGAGAAGAGGTTTTGCACGTCCAACATGGCCGCCAGCTCCAGCACGTGTTTCTGTAGAAGGCTGCTCTCCACCATCTCCTGTTTCGGCAGCGGAGGGTATGATTCTGGAAAACTCCTTGCTTCCTGTAACATGCACACAGAAACATATTCTCATCCAGCTGCTTTGTGACAATATCTTGTCCGTCAGTGGTCCTCAAACTGTGGAGTGTGTAGTACTACCAGGAGGTATACAACACAATACAAAAAAATTTTTTTTCTCAATTAAATGACCATTTTTCAATGTTTTATATCTATTTCTAAGTCTAACACAGTTTAGAAATAGATACAGCTTTGTATGTCTAATACTCCACTGGATGTTTGACAATTATTTTAGGATCGTGGGATACAAACAATGCTATTTTTGTATTATTTGTATACTATTACAGTATTTATTAATATCTTGAAGTAGCTTTAATTTGTATATATTCAGTTTTAATTTTATGTGCTTTTCTAATTTTTTTATTTAGCTTTTTTATTTTTATTTTTTTAGTAATTTTAGCATTTAAAACTTTTATTTCATTTAGTTGCCAAGTCAACATTTCAAATTTTTGTTTAATTTGTTTTAAGTTTCTCATCTAATATTTATTTTTCATTTCAATTAATGAAAGCATTGTAGAAATAGCTGTAGTTTTAGTTAACACTAACAACACTGGGTACAAATGGCTGTTGATCTGTATAAGGCAGTGGTCGGGAACCTATGGCTCACGAGCCACAGCTGGCTCTTTGACAAAAACCATGTGGCTCGCCAGATCTCTCACCCTTTACCAACAAATGATCTATTACAAAAACTATACATCACTAGAGATCAGCAATTCCTTTGTTGTAGAGACCACATAAGCTGATAAAATGTTTAAAATAATAATAAATTCTTTGTACTGGCCAAAGTGCGCGTTCAGTGCTGTTCGCGAGAGTCATGACAGCAAACCACTGACGTGTCTATGGTAACGTAGAGCTCCTGCACTCAGATTCATAACGTTAGCTTGTTTGTGGTTATAGCGAAAATAAAGATTTTTTGAACAGCAGAAAAAGTGTAAAAGTATGTAAAAATGAC